TCTGCCTCCTGAGTGCTGGGATTAAAGGCATGTGCCACCATGCCTGGCTGTTTTTTATTTTTAAATGCATGCATGTATATAAAAACCTGAAAGACTACTCAAACACACTAAACATATTCAAGATGATGAACAGTCACATGTGGTGATGCATGCTTGTGATCTCAGCTCTTGGGAAGCTAAGGCAGGAGTATTGCCATAAACTGAAGGCCAGTCTGGGCTACACATTAGACCCTGTCTTACAAAAAAAGAATTAAGACTCCCAAACACCTCGACAGTAGAGAAAGAACTTAAAAGAGACAAAATGTCAAGTAATAGTCTCAGGTCCTTTTGTAGCCCAAGGAAATATTTCTATATCCCTGGCTGGCCTTCAGCTTAGGGCAATCCTCCTGCCTCAGCCTCTCCAGTACTGGGATTACAGGTGTGTGCCACTGTATCTGTTCTGTTTCTAGTTCAAAACTTTTTCATATTCTGGTACCAGTTGTGGTGGCCCACTCCTTTTATCCCAGCACTCAGGAGGCGGAGGCAGGCAGATCTAACTTTAAGGCCAGCCTAAGCTACATAGCAAGATCCAGGTCAGCTAGGGCTACAAAGACACTGTCTCAGAAAACAAATACTCTGAATAGACAGCATATTTTTTTTGACTCACAAACCGAAAATAGGTCTTCCTATTTTTTGCTTGCTTCTTACATTAACCTCAATTATTCCTAATTCAGGAACAGTCTAAATTTGGGTATTAACTTCTACAAGATTAAATTGGTTTTGGTCGTCTTTTGACCCTGGTACCAGGTAGGTTTTTGGTGCTTACGCAGCAGCCACTCCCAGTTATTGGCAGCATTAGAACCTGGAGATATCCTCCTGTGCAGGTCAGGGTGGTCAGGATAGCTCACTGTTAAGTCAGTGCTTCAGGATAGGAGAGCTGTGTTTACCACAGAGCCAAGACAGCTCATAGAACATTGTTTTAAATCCACATACTTTTTTTTTTTTTTGCCTATTTGAGACAGGGTCTCCCTGTAGCCTGGCCTGGAAATCACTATGTAGATCAGGCTGGCCTTGAACTCACAAAGATCCACCTGGCTCTGCCTCCCAAGTGCTGGGATTAAAGGCATGCGCCACTTTGCCTGGCAAAATCTGCATATCTTTATAGTTTAAGCTGATAATGAATTATCCTTTATAATAATTCTGAGTTTAATTTGAGTGTCATGTTTTAAGGTTTCCATCAGTTAAACTTCCCAACTGTGTGTTATAAAATAGTTACTGTATTTAGAAATGGGGCAAAGTCACATTCTCACAGGCAACCAAACAGAAACCCAAATTCATATTAATGCATACATGCAGGTGTGTATTACACACATGTACATATATAACATATATATATATGTTTTGAGCAGTGTCTCCCTGTAGCTCTAGCATACCTGAAACTCACTATTTAGACCAGGCTGGCCTCAATCTCACAGGGATCCTCCTGCCCTTGCCTCCTGAGTGCTGGAATTAAACACGTGCACCACTATACTTGACCAGGTGTATTTTTATTTTATGTGTGAGTGTTCTACCTGCATGTATTTAACTGCACCTGTGCATGCAGTGACTGTGGAGAGGCCAGGATAGGGCGTCCTATCCCCTGGAACTGGAATTTCAGATGGCTATTAGCCACCTTGTCCTCTGCAAGAGCAGCCAGTGCTCTTAACCACTGAGCCATCTCTCCAGCCCCAAGATGTATTATCTTTTTTAAAAAAAGTACATTATCTTATTTTTGAGATATGGTCTCACTGTGTGTAGCCCTGGCTGGCTTGGAACTCCCTGCGTAGATCAGGCTGGCCTTAAACTCAACAGAGATCCAACTGCCTCTGCCTCCTGAGTACTGGGATTAAAAGTGGGCTACCACACCTGGATTGTTTATATTGTGTGTGTTGTGTGTGGGCACTTGTGGAGGTCAGAAGACAACCTTTGGGAGTCAATGCTCTCTACCCTGGGGGTTCTGGGGGTTCAGCTTACTTAGGTCAATAGGCTTAGCAACAAGTGCCTTTACTTTCGGAACCATCTTGCCGGCACAGTGCGCATTATGTTAAACCTACAGTTTCTGAACAACTCTGATCACTCTTGAGAAAGGATCTCATGTATCCCAAATTGGTCTCAAGATCACTATGTAGCCAAGGATAACCTTGAACTCTTGGTCCTCCTGTCTCCATCTGAGTGCTTCATGAGTGTGTGCTACCACATCAGGTTTATGTGGTGCTGGTTATCAAACCTAGGGCTCCATGGACACTAGGCAAGCACTGTACCAACTAAACATATCCCAGCCCTCATGAGTTCTTAAACTACCCTGCTTTGAAACATTATCGGCCCACAGTCTGTCACCTCACATTTAATGTCCCAAAGCCAAGATTATGATGCATGTGCCAGGAACTACCAACGAATAGGAGGAAAGATTTCATAGCTTGTGTCCTAACACAAGAGACATGCTCTCCTATGAGGACAGAGTAGAAATCTCACATTGGAGGGCCTTTGATGGTGCACAGTGTGAAGGAATAAACAGCTACTACTTCATCCCTTAAGTGATATTCAGCATGGTCCCAAACCTAGCTCTGAGTTATCTGACCACAATATCCTTACCTGAGTTTCTCCCTTGATTCCTATAGTTTTGTTGTCTTTGTAAGATCTTACCACTGTGTTTATGGCCTGTGAACAGGACCAGAAGGATTTGTGACTGATGAACATCACCAGGCAAAGAGATACATGTTCCTAAGCTCTGATTTTTATCCTCTGCAAATCTCTGTTAAATGAATATAAATGCATTTTTAAGTGCAAGTTCATAGGGGAATAATAATCATTAGCTTACCAACCAGCCTATGACGGAGTGTGTTGCCAGTTCCAGAGAATCGGCACAGTGTCCTTGAAATGCTGTCTCCTTGTTGCCCTTGGTATCTCAGGTAGCCAGTTGGTGAAGTTACATTACTTCTTTGGCTCTTACTGTTTTGACTGTATCACACTCCTAAATGACAGGTCTACTTTGTCCTGGTTTTGGATTTCAACAAGGGAATAACTGCAATTTTTTTTCTGACTTGTCTCTTCACTGATTTTTTAAAATAAAAGATGTATGTTGATACATCAATGAAGTTTGCCTTTACTGTAGCGTAGCCACCTTGTGAAAAAACAGAAGTGGCTATCTCTGTTTCTTGCTGAACATTCAGCTTGTTTCTAAGTTTATGATGCTTCAAAGAAAAGTCTAATATCCAAGATCCAAGGTGGACCTCTAACAGTGGATTGTGCAGCCTTGGGGCTGGAGGGATGATGGTTCTGTGGTTAAGAGCACTGGCTGCTCTTGTATAGGACCTGAGTTTGGTTCCCAGCACCCACATGGAGGCCAACAACCATCTATAGCTTCAGTTGCAGGGGATCTGACACCCTCTTCTGGCTTCCACAGGCATTTCATGCGTGAGTGCACTTACATACATAAGCAAAACACATTAAAAAGAAAATGGTGTGCAGCCTCACTGCAGCCCATCTTGAGAACTCTGGTTGAGCCTAGGCAGCCACCACCATCCAGCTGACCCTACCTGCTCTCAGATCATCAGTGACTTGGACCCAGTCACTTTGGGGACCTCTGTGAGTCAAAATCCCATCGAGCTGGTGGGTTATTAGGATGCCAAGAGAAGAGCAAATTTGTCCTGTCTTCCATTAAAATTAGGATTAGTCTGGGAGCCAGGCCTACTGAATACCTGAACATGTTATGACTGGTGAGGGATTCCCTTGTTTACAAGGCATTAAGTCTGGGGGACTTGCTCCAGACTATGGAAAGCACGGGAGAAGGGTTTGGGTTAAAGGAGCAACATCTCAACAGTAGTCCCCAAACTGGCTCGTTTTGGAAATAGGGTGGCCAGGTGTGGTAGTGTGTAGCCCAGTAACTTGGAAGACTGAAACAGGAGCATCTCTGGAGCCTAGGAATTCCAGCCTGGGCAGCATAAATAAATGCACTTGAACACTCTGTCCAGCAGGTGGCACTGCTGTACTGCAAGACCATCCTGGAGCAGTTGGCTCTAACTGGTGCTTTGATGGAAAGGATTATTTGATTGGGTCAATATCTTCTGATCCTTTGTGGACATATTTATATTTACAAAAGAAAAATATAATCAATTTCATTAGATATTTTGTTATTTTGTTGAGACAGGGTTTCACTATGTAGCTCAGGCTGTAATTACAGGCAAGCAACCACCCTGATTTTATTTTTCCTCCCTGGAACCAACCCATGGCCTTACCTCTTTCATGTGCTTTACCAGTGAGCTACCTCTGCAGTGTCACTAGACACTGAATGAAACTCACTTTAGCTTTTTCCTTTCCACAGTTTATTATCTTTTATTTTTTATTTTTTTGGTCTTTTTGAGACAGGGTCTCCCTGTAGCGCCAGTTCTCCTGGAACTCACTATGTAGTCCAGGCTGGCCTTGAACTCACAAAGATCCACCTGCCTCTGCCTCTTGAGTGCTGGGACTAAATGAGTGTGCCACCACACCTGGCTTGACAAGACACAGTTTAAATGTATCAGTTGATCAGTTGAATTCTATCACATGCACACATATCCCACCCTTGTAAGAACCCAGACCCAAAGAGTTTAATGTGTATGTCTTGGATTATAGCAGTTAGAGATTGGCCCATCCTATCCACTGTCTAGAAAAGTTGAAACAAGTGCAGGAAGAGGAGAGATGTCTAGATGGTGGGACCAGAGAGGAAGACTGTCATCTACCTGTCATCTGTCTATCCTCTATCATCTATCATTGATCTATCCTATATCTATCATCTATCATCTATCCTATATCCTCTATCATCTATCTGTCATCTATCCTCTATCTATCCTCTATCTATCCTCTATCTATCTATCTATCTATCTATCTATCTATCTATCATCTATCCTTTATCCTCTATCATCTATCTGTCATCTATCTATCCTCTATCCTCTATCATTTATCTATCCTCTATCATCTATCTATCCTCTAACCTTTATCTATCTATCTATCTATCTATCTATCTATCTATCTATCTATCTATCTATCTATCATCTATCCTCTATATCTATCTATCCATCCATCCATTCATCCATACATCCATCTACCTACCTATTTCTATGTATTTATCAATCATTCATCTATGATCTCTATTTCCATATATCATTACTTCATGTATACCTGTCTATTCATCTATCATATATTCTGATCGTGGTGACTGTGATTTTTTGTTTTATGTGTGGGTTTTTTTTTTTTAACTAGGTCTCACTATGTACCTCTTTTTGGCCTGGACTAGGCTGGCTTTGAGCCCACAGAGATCCACCTGCTTTTGCCTCCCAAATGCTGGAATTAAAGGTGTGCACTACCACATCTGGCCATCTGTAATATGTTCTTTATCATCTACTCTTTCAACATGTCTCTGGAAAAATGAAGGTATTTTAAAAGATGGTCTTTGTTATTTATAACAAACTCTCTCCCTTTTGAGGCAGAGTTTTACTATGTAACCCTGGCTAGTCTGGAACTCACTATATAGACCAGGCTGGCCTCAAACTCACAAGTTTGTTAATGAGGTACTTAATTTTTTTTCAAATTTCTTTTTCTTCATTTCTGCAGCTCTAATTTTCTAAAAATGTGTTTGAAGTGGGGGGTCTTGCTCTAGCTAAGGCTGGCCTGGAACTCACTATCAAGCCAAGGCTGGCCTGGAAATCCTGTCAGTTCTTTTGCCTTGGCCTTCAGAGTACTGAGATTACAGGAACAAGCCACTACACCGAACATAAACATGATCTTCTAAGGTCTTTACAGGAACACAGCATACTAGCTAGAGGAACCAAGTGCCAAGATGGTTGCAATTCTTTATCTCAGGCATGAAAGATAAAATTGATCACTAGTGGCCAATAATTTAATCAATCATGTGTATCTAATTCCACCACCCCCCACCCCACCAAAAACAACCTCACCTGACTTCCAGGGGCTTTCAGGAAGGCCAACAAGACAGTGCTGTTGTTACACGGCTGCTCTGTGGCCTGGAAGCCCCTAAGCTGAGGGTCCTTCCAGACTTGGCCTTAAATATCTTCACCCATCTGTTCCTCTGTGTCCTTTATTTTCACTTATAATAAACCAGAAAGTATGTTTCCTTGAGATCTCACCCTGGTTTAGAAGCACAGGAAAGACGACTTGCAGTTTTGGATTTCCATAACCAATAGTAGGAAGTTTTGGGACCCAGCCCTACATCTCCAGGTGGTGCCAAAATTGAAAGAGAAGATAGTGGATATCTTCTGTGCGTATCCCTCCAAGTGACCTTCTGTTTGTTTCAACTTTCGACGCAAGTACTGATGGTAGTTTTCTTGGACTTTCAAAGCAGTGGTAATTTCCACTCTGGAAAAGGGCGGACCAGGGCCTGACTCTTATATTCTGGTTGCTACGACGTCTTATTCTCAGCTTCTCAACACTAATAATGACCTTCTCGTTTTGCAGGTGAAATACGTTAATTTGCTGAAGTCACAGAGGTGATCAACAGGGTGAGAGAGACGAGGAATGGTCGCTGATCTTACTATGGCAAGGCTTAAGCCGCAAAGATCAAATTCTCCAGCCAGGCACGGTGGTATCTGGGAGGTAGATGCAGGAAAATCAGGAATTCAAAGTCATCCTCGGCTACAGAGTCAGTTCCGAGGCCAGTCTGGGCTGCAGAACCATCATCGCCAATGTCCATGGCCCCGTGGAGTGGTACCAAGGACCGCGCTCGGTGAGGTCACAGGGGTACAGACTACGTCACAAAGCCGCACACGAGTTGGGCGCGCCTCGGCAGTTGCTGGGAATCGTAACTAAGGGTGCTTCTGGTCTCCAGGCAGGAAAGTGGGGGGAGGAAAGCACATCCAAGCTCCGGTGCACACGCCCTCCAGCACAATCGCACAATCTGGCAGTCTCCAATGTGATCATCCCTTCTGTAACTGCTATGGGGCGCCAAGCAGGAGGCTTCCCACCAAGCCCCCTCCTCTCCTCGGACTCCTCTGGGAACGCCCCCTCCACTAGGCCCCGCCCTCCGCTCGGACTCCGCTCGGAACGCCCCTCTCCTCTAGGCCACACCCTCCGCTGGGAACGCCCCTCTCCGCTAAGCCCCGCCCTCCGCTCGGACTCCGCTGGGACCGCCCCTCTCCGCTAAGTCCCGCCCTCCCTCAGATTCCGCTGGGAACGCCCCTTTCCGCTAAGCCCCGCCCTCCGCTCGGACTCCGCTGGGAACGCCCCTCTCCACTAAGCCCTGCCCTCCGCCCGGACTCCGCTGAGACCGCCCCTCTCCTCTAAGCCCCGCCCTCCCCTCGGCCTCGACTGGGAACGCCCCTCTCCGCTAAGTCCCGCCCTCCGCTCGGACTCCGCTGAGAAGGCCCCTCTCCGCTGAGCCCCGCCCTCCGCTCGGACTCCGCTGAGAAGGCCCCTCTCCGCTGAGCCCCGCCCTCCCCTCGGACTCCGCTGAGAACGCCCCTTTCAGCTAAGCCCAGATCTCCCTCAGACTCCTCTGGGAACGTCCTTCTCTGCTAAGCCCCGACCTCCCATTGGACTCCCCCTGGGAACGCCCCTCTCCGCTAAGCCCCGCCCTCTGTTCGGACTCCGCTGACAACGCCCCTCTCCGCTGAGTCCCGCCCTCCGCTCTGCCTCCGCCGAGAACGCTTCTGCCAACCTCCGTCCTCCATCTCGAAATCCGCCCAGAACGCCCCTTTCCATTAAGCCCCGCCTCCCATCGGACCCCGCCCCTTCCCTGCCGTCCTCGGGAGCGGCTGCGCCTGCGCACTGGAAGCTCCGTGGTTAGGTCCGTTGTCCAGCGGTTGACAGCGTCCTGGTTAGGGAGCCTGAGAGTGAGTAGCGGGGTTTATTGCGGAGTCGGAGCCCGAGCGCCGCGTACAGATCGGTCCTCGTCGTCCCCGCGTTCCCAGACGCCGGCGCGGCGCGTCCTGAGGTAGGCGGGCAGATGCTTGGGATCTGAGGTGGGCGAGCAGACCACAGGGTCTGCAGCAGGTCTGAGCTGGATGTGCCAGGCCGGGGTGTATGTGAACGAACTGGGCTGTGAGTTTGCCATTGTGTACCTCGTGTGGATGTGGGAGAGAGGACGACACTGAGAGACGGGGCGTGTGTGAGCTGCTTGTGGAACATGCTAGGCGTGTGTCTGCGCGGTCTCCAGCACAGCTATAAACTACTTGGGATCTCCCACGTAGCGATGTCTTGTTGACCTCTGATTGATGGCTGGCAGGCTCGAGGGTCGCTTCAGGATCCGGGCTGATCACAGCAGACTCCAAGAGTAGAGGGAGCAGGATTTTCAACACCATACTCCAAGTAGACAGAAGGGTAAGTCCATCACTAGTGGCCAATGCTTTTGTTGTCGTTTGAGACAGACTATCATGGACCCCAGGCTGTCCTCAAATGCACTCTGTAAGCAGAGGATGACTTTCAACTCCAGCCCTCCTGCCTCAGCACCCCAAGTTCTGGGATTACAGGTGAGTGCCAGCACACCGAGAAAAAATGACATTTCATGCCTGTGAAATGTACACAAAGGCTCAGAAGGAAAGCGTTCAGAGAGCTTTCTGATCGCAGAATGTGTGGAGGTTCCTAGAGGGCAGCACACCCCTCATCACATAACTTTGCTCAGTGCATACCTTACCAAAAAAAAAAAAACTGTTGTGTATGATGTGTGGACATGCACATGTCATGGTGCACATGTGTAGGTCAGAGGACAGCTGTGTCCTCTCTTCTTCAGTTTTTATGTGGGTTCTGGGGATGGAACTAAGGGCCTCAGTTTTGACTGGAAAGCTCTTTACCCACAGAGCCATATCTCCGACTCCTCAGCTTTTATCTTTAAAATATTCCTTATAAACAGCCAGGCATGGTGGTTCACACTTTTAGTCCCAGCGGAGGCAGGCGGATCTCTGTGAGTTCAAGGCTAGGCTGGTCTACATAGTGAGTTCCAGGCCAGCTGGGGCTCCAGGGAGACACTGTCTCAAAAAGACATATACATATATATATGTATATATATGCTATATATTCAAATTCTTTATAAACAACTGTTTTCCTGTATGCTTTGATGCACTCAAGTAAATTAATTGAACAGCAGGAGGGCTCATAGAAAACCCTGATCTAGGGCTGGAGAGATGGCTCAGCAGTTAAGAGCATTGGCTGCTCTTGCAGAGGACTCGGCTTCGATTTCCAGCACCCACATGGCAGTTTACAACCATCCATAACTCCAGTTCCAGGGGATCTGACGCCTTCTTCTGAGCTCTGTGGGCATTTCCCCACACAGGTGCACTTAGAGGTCTTCAGCCTGTGGGGTCTGACATGATGCTGTCAGAATTGAGTAAAATCCCCAGATGGTTTGTTTGGTGTTTGGGAGAACTCCCACCAATTTGCTGTAAAAGTGTTCTGTGTTATGAGGAGAAAAATCTGAATTTGTGTTCCTCTGGAGGGGGGGGGGAGAGAGAGAGAAAGAAAAAATAGGTGTGAGCCTAGGGTATGTGCGAGTGTTGTACTATGGCTTTCTTCCTTTATCATGATCATCTCATTGATGTGCTGGAGTGACATTACCTTAGTCCTGTTGCCATGACAACTAATTGAGTCAAGCAATACAGAGATAGCTAGGCCTCTGGCAGCGGTAATGGCGCTTTTAACATTTCCTAGGAGGAGAGGGAGCGGAGAGGGAGGGGAGTCACTGGACCCTTCTCTGGGATTCCACTCAGTCCCCTCATAGCACTCCCACAACCCCAATGCAGGTGCTTTTGGGAGGTGTTAGTGTACACAGGAAGTAAAAGGTTAACTGAAAGGGGCACTCCATGATGCAGCTTCCATGAGGTTGTCATCCATGATGGGGTGAGACTTTGAGTCATGCAGCAGTTTGGGGATCACCCATGCTCCTCATTTATGCTGTGGAAGTTAGCCCAATATATCCCAAGTTGGATTTTTTTTGTGGACTCATCACTTTGGTCTGTCATTGCCATCCCTCTCTGAAGTGAGTAGATGGTTGTTATGTCTCCAGAGAAAAAAGTTTATACGGGACTGGAGAGATGGCTCAGTGGTTAAATGCACTAGCTACTCTTGTAGAGGACCCAGGATCAGTTCCCAGCACCCACATGGCAGCTAACAACTGTCTGTAACTCCAGTTCCAGGGAATCCGACAGCCTCTTCTGTCCTCCGTGGGCATTGCATGACACAGGTGCATTTACCTACATGCAGGCAATATGCTCATACACATAAAATAAAAATAATAAAATATTTTTTAAATTATTTTTATTTTATCTTCATTTTATTTTTTAAATATCAACCAGTGTTCTTAACCGCTGAGCCATCTCTCCAGCCCCAATAATAAAATATTTTAAAAAAAAAGTTTATGTAACAATAAAGGGATGTGCAGCATACAGAGGTTAAATGGGACTGATTGGTCATGGTGCGTGCATGCGTGTGTGTGTGCGTGCGTGTGTGCGTGTGTGTGTGTAAGCAAGAAATTGGGCTGTGAAAGACTGTATTTTCATACCTGGAGTGAAAGATACCAGCGTGTGTTTTGTGAGAATGTCATTAGACTGCGAGTTACCAGGGTATGTGTATGAATGCATCTGAGACAGAAGCGGGAGGGAATGAGCTTTGAGTGCATCTCTGCAAGATTCCATTGTGGGTGTAGGTGTGTGGACGGGAAAGACCATCATGTTTTTGTGTTATTATTTATTTGGGGTTTAAAATATTTTTATTTATTTTTGCTTTTTAAAAATACTATTTTTTATTTTATGTGTATGAGTGTATCTCCTGCATATGTATAAGTGTGCCCATGTTATGTGATGCCCACAGATATCTGAAGAAGGCATCGGATTCCCTGGAACTGGAGTTACGGACAGTTGTTAGCTACTAGTGAGGTTGCGGAACATGGGCATATGAGTGGATCCAAGACAAGAGGCTGTGGCTGTTGGTGTGCGGGACACAGGATAAGACTGGGGTGTCTATGAAGGTGTTTGTGAACCCTGCTATCCAAGGCCTCTCTGAGATCATGGTGTGTATGATGCTTGTGATCATGTCTCTCGTGAGATTAGAAAGTATGTGAAATCTTGGGTTAGTATTTGCATTATCACTTTTTATTATTGAAACTGTCACCCAGTGTGCATAGAATGACTAAGGATTAATAGCATTTTTTTGTAAATTCAATCTTTTAGTCCCATTCTTTTTTAAAAAATAAGCCGGGCATGCCTGTAGTCCCAGCACTCGGGAGGCAGAGGCAGGCGGATCTCTGTGAGTTCAAGGCTATCCTGGTCTACATAGTGAGTTCCAGGACAGCTTGGGCTACAGGGAGACCCTGTCTCAAAAAGACCAAAAAATTTTTTATGTATTATTTATTATTATTATTATTATTATTATTATTATTAATTATCTTACGTGTATGAGTGTATTGCCTGCATGTATGTGTATAAGTGCACCTGTGTCATGCAGTGCCCATGGAGGTCAGAAGAGGGTATTGAATTCTTCTGGTACTGGAGTTAAGGATGGTTGTTAGCTGTCATGTGGGTGCTGAGAATCGAACCCAGGTCCTCTGCAAGAGCAGACAGTGCTTTTTGGTTTTCTTTTTTAAAAAAAATATTAAATTTTTGTGTATTTCATGCAGAAAATCATCTTTATACCCCCTCCCCTTTGGCACCTCCCATAGCTGCACACCCCCCCCCCAGAGTTCTTACATTCTATCATTTGTGTTAAGACCTATTATGTAAAGTTAGAGTCCCAGGATGTCCCTCAGTGCAAGTTCATCCACTGGGATCTAGTCAGCCTATTTAGAGTCTCTCTCTTTAAGATCAGCTCTTCCTCACCCAGCCAGTAATCAGCTGTCAATAATTCTTCAACTAAGAGTGGGACTTGCTGTTTCCACAGCTCTGTGCTGGGTTTTTGTCTGCTTAAGTTTGCATGAGTCTTGTGCCTGCTGACACTATTGTTGTAGGTTTGTGTGAGAAGGGTCCCAGGCACCTGTAGGATCATTTCTGTATGGTCATGCACTTCTTCCCTGACTCTTATAATCTTTCCACCCTGGTTCCCTCTTCCGCCATGGTCCCTGAACCCTGGGTGGGTGGACCTCAATGTAGGAGTCCTGTCTAAGGACCCACACACTGCAGACTCTTATTCTCTGCGTTTTGGCTTTTTGTGGCCTTTTGTGTTGCTGGCCCTCTGTTGCATAAGGGAGCTTCATTGATGAGAACTGAAAGATGCATTAGTGTTCTCTTCATGCCTTGTTCTATGTTCTGTGAGTCTTAGGTGTAGAGGTTGTATCCTAGATGTGCCACTTACGCGTGGGCCACATTGTGTGACCAGTAGTGTAACTCTAATAATCTCTGTCTGTTGAAGAAGAAGCTACTTTGATGGGTGGTGACTGGGATACTTTGTAAATTTAAGGATCCATATTTTGCACATAGTAAGAAATTACATTTGCCTAGGGATATGAGAGCCTTGGGGTTTCTGTAAGATCTGTAACCTCTCCAGCTATCTGTATTTGCCTAGGCTTACAGTACCACACACGAGTTTCCTCTCATTGAACTGGCTTTAAGTCCAATTAGGTAGCCTTTGATTACCCCCAAGATAAAAGTCCCACTACTATACCAGTGTCATTTGCTGTACTGGTCATCGATGTGGTTTTTAGACCTTGAGGCTAGGGTTGAACTATGGATTTATGTTCTCCTTTACCAGCTTTGTGTAGTGCTCTCCAAAGCTATAAGAGCTAGCCTTCAGGGGAGGTGGCTTCTAGGGCAGCTCCAGCTCCATTGCTCCAAACCCTGTGTCCAAAGAATGTCCTGTCTTCAGCAAGAGGGTCTTGCCATCAAGTTCTGGGAGGCAATCAAGGACTGTGGGCAGATAGTGCTCTTAACTGCTGAGCCATCTCTCCAGCCCTGAGTCCCATTCTTTTAAAAAAATATTTTATTTTTTACTTATGTGTCTGTATGTGAGTATGTACTCATGTATGTTGGTGCCCTAGGGAGCCAGAAGAGGGCATTGGATCTCCTGGTGGAGTTACAGGCAGTTGTGAGCCAACTGACATGGGTGCTGGGATCTGAACTGGGTCTCTGGCAACAACTACAAGTGCTTTTAATTACTGAGCCATTTCTCTAACGCAGAATTTGATTTTAAAAATTGTTTCATTTTTATTTATTTTGTGAGGGGTGTGTGTGTGTGTGTGTGTGTGTGTGTGTGTGTGTGTATGTGTGTGTGTAATGTACATGTACATACCATGGCATCTATGTGGAGGTCAGAGGACAACTTTCAGGAGTCAGTTCTGTCCTTCCACCATGTGGGTCCTGGAGATTGAACTCAGATCCTCAGGCTTGGTGGTAGGTGCCTTCACCCATTGAGCTCTATCTCTGAGAGATTTTTTTGTTTTTGTTTTTGAGTCAGGATCTCACTATAAAGCCCTGGCTGGCCTTGACTTCACTGTGTAGCCCAGGCTAGCTTTGAATTCCTGGAAATCCTCCTGCCTGTTGGCCTCCTGCATGTTGGGATTACAGGTGTACACCATCATGTCTTGTTAGTAATAGGTTCTTTATGTGTCTGGGACTGTGTACTGTTGAGGTAACAGTCCCAGACTTTTACCAAGCTTTCTAGGAAGAAGCAACAGCTGAGCTGAGCAGAGCTGAGCTGACTGGAGTAGGGGAAACCCTCTAATCTGGGTCAGAAAGGAAGAGAAATGATTGAACCAGGACAGAGGTGACAACGTGGCCGAGTTGAGTGCCAAAGGCTCCATCGTTCTAGAGTGAGAAGAGAGTCAAGCCTGGAGATTGGGATGGTGGAAAACAGTAACTCTGGCCTCTGGTGGCATTAAGGAGTGGGATTTCAAACTAGACTGTCAAATCATGGAACAGGCACCTCAAAATAATTCTGTCTTTACCTTTACTCACGGTGGGTCTTGCTTGGTCTCTTAAACCTGTCTAGAAATGCTCTTATAGAAAGGCCTGGTATGTGTCTCCTAGGTGATTCCAAGTCCAGTCACGAGCACAGTGGAACTAAGCAGCTTGCCTGCTGCCACCAGTGCATAGCTACAGAACTAATTAAAGGTGGGAGGAGCCAGGGAAGACGGTGTAGGTAGGTGATGCTGAGGGTTCAGGGAAGACCTTGACTTTCACTGCCCTTTCTCTTTTTCTAGTCTGGAATTCCCAAGACACTGTTCTGCAAGACAGAAACCAGGAGGAGGCAAACATGACCGTTGAACTAGTGAAGGCCACCATCCAGGTTAGTTTCTGTATCGTTTCTTCTGTGAAAGACAGACTTGCTGATTAGCACCCAGTAATGCTTCTCTTGACAATTCTGATTCTTAATGTGCCCCTGGGCCTGGTTCCTGCAGGACAGTGTCCTCAGCAGTCATTGCCTAGTGGGTGAGTAATAGGCGTGATGAGGCAGAGAGCCCACTCTGAACCTTCTTCTTCTCACCTCAAATGCAGTTTATGGCCAAATCACCCTGAATGTGCCTGATATCATCTGCTACCAGAAGCTAAGGAGTGTGGGGCCTGGTTGGTACCTGAATGGGAAATAAGAGTCTCCCTATGTAGCCCAGGCTGGCCTCAGACTCGTGACAATCCTCCTGCCTCCAGAGTACTGTGATTGCATGTGTGAACCACTGTGCCTTGTGTACACATTTTTAAATCAATGTTGACTCTTCTGAGAAGTCTTGTTTTCTATTATATAAAACAGAGATATCTCAGTACTAGTGGATTGGGTGTCAAGTTAGATGACATGCAGGGCCCTATTCTATAAATAGATGACATCAGGGACCATTTCTTTCTTTTCTTAAAAAAATATTTTATTATTTTACGTGTATAAGTGTATTGCCTGCCTGTGTGTACATGCACCCACATCGTGCAATGCCTGCAGCAGTGGTCAGAAGAAGGTCTCAGATCCCCTGGAACTGGAATTACAGACAGTTGTTAGCCATCATGTGGGTTGTTGGGATTGAACCTGGTCCTCTGCAAGAGCAGCCAGTGCTCTAACTGCTGGGCCATCTCTCCAGCCCCCAATATTTAATTTGTAAGGAATCTGCCCAGCTGATTTCCACAGTGGCTGCAGCATATTAACTTCTCAGCTATAACATATGAGTCTCATTTTTCTATATCCTCTCCAAGAGCTGTTTTCACATGTTTCCTGATTTTATTTTTTTCTGATTCTGTGTCAACCTCAATTTTCAAATAGTGCATGGTATATTCATCCTTTCATAGCTTTTAGTTGCACTGAATTAAATAGGTATATTTAAAATACTCTTCAGAGTTTAAAATTTGGTAAGGATTTGTTTACCTAGTATTTGATTCATTTCAGCATATATTTAACACTTACATCAAAAAAGTTGTAATGGGCCAGGTATGGTGTCACACTCCTTAATCCCAGTACTTGGGAGGCAGAAGCAGGGGGATCTCTGTGAGATAAAGGTCAGCCTGGTCTACATAGTGAGTTCAAGGTCAGCTGGGGCTACAGGGAGACCATGTTTTAAAAATTTTTTAAATTTGGTAGTGGGGCTGGAGAGATGGCTCAGCAGTTAACAGCACTGGCTGCTCTTGCAGAGGACCTGGGTTTGGTTCCTAGCACCCACATGGTAGCTAACAACCATCCATAACTCCAGTTCCAGGGTATCCAAAGCCCTCTTCTGACCTTGTGCTGTAAGGCTTCGGTTGTCAACTTGACATACCTGAGTGGAGGGAACCTCAGCTAAGGAATGTCCTCCATTGGCCAGGCCTGTGGCCATGTCTTTAGGGCATTTCTTGATTGTTGAGTGATGTGGAAGGGCCCAGCCCACTGTGGGCAATGCCAACCCTGGGCAGGTGGTCCTGTGTTGTATAAGGAAGCAGGCTGAGCACAGGCCAGGAAGCAGCATTCTTCCATGGTCTTTGCTCCAGGTTCCTGCCCTGAGTTCCTGCTGTGACTTCCCTCAGTGATAAACTGAGACCTGGAAGATATAAGATAAAATAAGCCCTTTACTCCCCAAGTTGGTTTTGGTCAATGGTTTTGGTTTACATCAATAGGAAGCAACTAGAATAGAACTCTTTGCATTATATTTATGTGGTACTCTTATATACGTGCAGGCAAAGCACTCATACACATAATAAAAATAAATTTAAAAAATTTTAGTGGTAGTAAAGTTAACTGTAAGTTAGGTGAAGCTTTCTGATGTTGAAAATTTTCAATTTCATATGGCCCTAATTTGTCTCCTAAATATATCTATTCCTAATGGGTTAAGTCTAGTCAATTTTTATGTATTTGTTTTCTTTATGTATTTGTTTTACTATGCATACAAATTTTTAAAAAATCAAGTGTTGCTGAGCGTGGTGGCGTACGCCTTTAATCCCAGCACTTGGGAGGCAGAGACAGGCAGATCTAAGGCCAGCCTGGTCTACATAGTGAGTTCCAGGACAGCTGGGGCTACAGGGAGACCCTGTCTCAAAAATATCCCCCCCCAAAAATCAAGTGCTTTATGTTATATATTATTTATATTGATGTTTGACTTACTTTATGCCAGAATGGTATTGAAATTTTGTCACATTTTTAAGGGAAAATTTCAAACATGTATGAAAGTAGCTATATGTTCTATATTATTTATATTGATGATTGACTTTATGCCAGAATGATATTGAAATTTTGTCACATTTTTTAAGGGAAAATTTCAAACATACATGAAAGTAGAGGGTCTCATTTAATGAATTCCTCCTGCACCTTTCTCCATGTCTTACCCCATCACTCAGAATATCTGTCAATACATTTTAAGTATTATTTTGTGTTACAGCTTGTGTTTAAGATTTTTCCCCTCATTGGGGCTGGAGAGATGGCTCAGCAGTTAAGAGCACTGGCTGCTTTTCCAGAGGACCTGAGTTTCGTTCCCAGCATGGGAGCTCCCATGGAAGCTCACAACTGCCTATAACTCCAGTTCCAGGGGATCTGTCGCCGTCTGTCTTCTGTTCTCCTTGGGTACCTGCACTCGTGTGCATGTACCCCTGCATAGATACAAACATATTTGCGTAATTTAAAATAAAATAAAATTTAAAAACATTTTTTGCTCTTCCACAGACTACTTTTCACATTGAGACACACCTGATGTGGAGTTATGTGTGAATATGAGCATTTGTTGGTCAAAACTTTTTGTGGGGCTGGTGAGATGGCATCACGGATTAGAGGTGCCTGCTGTCAAGTCTAACCACCTTAGTTCAGTCCTCCGGACTCACATGGTTGAAGTAGAGAACTGATTCCTGAAAGTCCTCCTTTGACTTCCAGGCCTGCACATGAGCCCCTCTGCCCCCAAATAATACAAATGTAACAAAAAATGTAATGTATTTGTATCATTTCAGGACTCTGTTACATTCAAAGATGTGATGATAGACTTTTCCCAGGAGGAATGGAACTGGTTGAATCCTGCTCAGAGGAGTTTATACCGGACTGTAGTGTTGGAGAACTATCGGAACCTGGTTTCTGTGGGTAAGGATCTTTCCCACCGTGTATAGTTCAAAATCTGTTTTTAAGCACCCTTCACGTTTTTACTATTAAAGCTACGCTTACTGTGTGGAGGTCAATCAGTGCTCTTAACTGCTGAGCCATCTCTCCAGACCCCTGTTGAGCTTCTTTAAGCCGATGTCTTCAGCTACATTTGGGAGGCTTTAGACTATTTTTTCCTTGAATTTCTTTCTCATCTCTCATCTCCGTTGGGACTTCAGTTGCACCCAAATCCATTGACATTGTGCCTCAAATGATGTCTTCACTTTGTGAAGTCGTGTTTCTAGTTTTCAGATTAATTTTTGTTGATTAGAAATTAACTTTGTCAAGACTGTGTAAGCATATTTAGTAATCTTTAAAGCTTCAGATATTATATTTTCAGTTGCAGAATTTGGTTCTTTTTGTGGTTTCTTCTGAGCTTTCCCTTTTGTATATTCTTTTAAAAAATCTTTGTATGTGTATGTATATGATGTATGTGCATATACATGTATGGTTATGTGTGTGCTTGTGCATTCCACTGTATGTGCCTGTCTGTGTGTGTGTATGCATGTTTGTGTGTGCTGATCAGAGGACAACCATGGGTGTCGGTCCTCACCTCCACCTTGTTAGAGATAGCATTTGTCTACTGCGCAAGCTGGTCCTCTAGCTTCTGGGGATTCTCCTATCTCTGCCTCCCATTTCAGTGTAGAAGTGCTGGGATTACAGACCTGCTACTATACTCAGCTTTACATGGGTTCAGGGGATTCAAACTCAAGTCCTCATGCTTGTATGGCAAGCACTTAACCACTGAGCCATCTCTCTAGCTCCCATTTGTGAATTCTTTATAAGCATATTTCTTTATAAAATATTTCATTATTTTTTATGTGTGTGAGTGTATTGCCAGTATATATGAGGGTTCTCCAAAGAAACAGAACCGGTAGAATGAATATACATGTATAGAGATTTATCAGCTTAGCTCACAGGATAGAGTCCAAGTAGTCCAACAATGGCTGCACCACACTGGAGAGGCTGAGAATCCGTAGTCGCTCAGTCCATGAGGCTGGATGTTTCAGCAGTCCCAAATGGATTCTGGGAGAGCTGCTAGTCTCCCAGATGGAATCTGAAGAAGGTGGTCACAGCAGCAAGACGAGCTCACCAGTGAGCAAGAAGGCAAGTGGCAAAAAAGCAAGAGCTCCTTTCTGCCAGGCCCTTTAATATGGGCTGTCATCAGAAGGTAACACCCACATTTAGGGTGTGTCTTCTTGCTTCAGATGATCCAACCAAGAAGGAGATCTCCCTCATTTCACTTAATCCCAGTTCCAGTCAAGTTGACACCCAGGATTATCTGTCACAAGTCCACCCCTTGTCAACTTGACACCCAATAGCATCTCTCTATGTCATGCTTAATTTTCAAATGAAAACAATGTTGAGGTCATGATTTCACCTAACATGATATGATTATCCCATCATACAATGACCAGTGCATTTTATATCTTAGAGTGGGTGATAAGGTCTTCAAGGAATGCTTAGTCATTTAGTGTCTCATAACCCAATATAATCATATAGGTTCACAACACTTAACCACTTAACACTTACCTCAATTACACATTCAAAAAAGAATCAAGTATCTGCTTCACATATGTGTATACATGCACAAGCCTATTCTTAACTAAATAGGACAAAAATACTCATGTCAATTACAATCCACGTTTCTGCAACTGGTCACATGGCCTAAGTTGGTATTTTTAACTACCTTCCTCTACTACCCATTCTGTATTTCCTCCACCATCAGCAAGCACCTCTCCAGGTTTTGGCTCTTCCCCTAGAGAAGTAACCCATACTTTCATCCCTGAAGGGTCTGGGCCATTTGTTGTCTCCTGTCTGGATTGGGTTGTTGCAGTTTCCCATTGACCTCAATCACAAGACATGGTAACGCCAAAAGTCACCCTAAGGAATCTCCTACCTTCCAGATATAATCTTTATTACCTCCATTGTGGAGAACCAGTCCAATTTCCCCCTGGTAGTCTGGGTCAATCACCCCTCCTAGTACTGTTATTCCTTTCTTAGCCTGCTGACTTAAGGGCATCAGAAGCCCAAAGTGTCAGGCGGGGAGTCTTAGCTTCCAGTTCAACAGAATGTTTGTTGTCTCTCCTGGCAGAAGCACTCCCTCCTCTGGAACCAAAACATCCAAACCAGTAGAATGCAAAGTTGAGGGTCCAGGAAGCAAAAATTTTCCTAGTGGGTCACAAGGGGTGATAGTGAGTGGAATCATGCCCACTTCCACCCCTTCCTGGCTATAGGAGACACTGTACCATATATTGGACGCTGATTCAAAGCATACACTGCCTTCTGGAGGACCCTGCCCCAGCCCTCCAGGCTATTGCCACCTAATTGGTGCTGTAACTGTGTCTTTAAGAGGCAATTCCATCATTTTATCAAGCCGGCTGCTTCAGGATGGTGGGGAACATGGTAAGACCAGTGGATTCCATGACCATGGGCCCACTGTTGCACTTCTTTCGCTGTGAAATAAGTTCCCTGGTCAGAAGCGATGCTGTACGGAATACCATGATGGTGGATAAGTCATTCTGTAAGTCCCTGGATGGTAGTTTTGGCAGAAGCATTATGTGCAAGAAAGGCAAATCCATAACCAGAATAAGTATCTGTTCCTGTAAGGACAAAACACTGTCCCCTCCAAGGTGGAAGTGGCCCAATGTAGTCGACCTGCCACCAAGTTGCAGGCTGGTCACCACAGGGAATAGTGCCATATCGGGGGCTCAGTGTTGGTCTCTGCTGTTGGCAGATCTGGCACTCAGCAGCAGCTGTAGCCAGGTCAGCTTTCATGAGTGGGAGTCCATGCTGTCGAGCCCATGCATAACCTCCATCTCTGCCACCATGGTCACTTTGTTCATGGGCCCATTGAGCAATGACAGGGATAGCTGAAGAAAGAGGCTGACAGTCCACAGAG